GTGGCGAGGGGATTTTTATCAGGATTTTTTTCTTGTTGCAACCTTTGGGGATGTTTTYCAAAATATGTTTTGTATGTTCACATTGTATCTGTAGTGTTTTTCTTTATTATTATTATTGGGATCTATACAAGGGTTCGATCCTCGTTTGGAGCACGTCAAAATAAAAACATTTTGTTTTAATTTTTTCCTTTCCTACCCTATGGTCCGGGTGGCCTGTGGGACAGTATAAAATCAGCCAATGTTAAAACGTAATCACGTCACGTGGACGTAGATTCTTGTGTGATATTTCGCAATAATTCCCGGGCCTAACAAAAATACTGTCGAGACAGACTACAGTCTATTCTTTCGAAGGCAAAAAAACGAAGAAGGACAAGGCTAACTCCAGGTAAGTTAGTCATTGTTTTGATTTATGTTTGCATTAATTTGAAGCTTTATTTGACATTGCGTGCCATTCTTATTCAAACAATGGCGTGCCATATTTTGATTTGCACACCATTGTCGACCGATGCTTTCGCTGCATATTTGGATAGTTCACTGGAGGAACGGCTTGCAATTTTGTTCATTTGCCGATTTAAATAGTGAATGGGAACCCCGCAAAAACTACAATGTCAAGTCATTGTGTCATTACTGAAGTAAATAACGCGTTTTCGTACTTTACAGTGTATTATAATGTAAGCATCCATGTGAACATCAGGGTTATGTACTTCTTAAGAGGCAACGGCGTTTGTCAAAAAAAATTGCATGACAAACTTAATTTTGTGCGATTCTACTTTTGACTGATAGAACGTTGTCACATAGTGGCACATAGGAGACTACTGATCTCAGGAACTGCTAAACACTATTTTTACGACAACCTTGCTCAACAAGTATCAATTTTCAACTATCTTTGCACAACCTAGCTAAAACTCCTTGTTCTCCTCTAATACCTAGTTAGTAGGTTGAATATTTTCGATTTTACTCTAAAATATAGTTTAGAAAACTATGTTTCGAGATAATTTTTGAACTTATATGCGAATAATTTGATGCACAACGTGTTTTATTTTGTAGCCAAAGTCATGTCACACAACGCCAGGTCACGCGCACGAAAAGCCGTGGAAATCATCTAAAATTCTTCTAAATCGTAGTTTTTTGTTTTAATATAGATTTAGAATTGCTAAATGTAATGAAAATAAGGTATATTTGCTACTTTGTACCCGAAATTATGTTCATAACAGTTGGCCGCCATTTCTGGTGGACTTCAGTACGGTGCCGCCATACATTTCTTTGTAAAGATCGGCATATAAAATTGCTTGTAAACTTGCAACAAAAGCTCGGTTCGACTCAAAATTTCACAGAATTTTAATACGTCTATTATGTGAAAGTACCAAAATTTTATCTTTGATTTTAAAACTCTCTAAAAATGTTGGTGCCGTGAAAGCGTATAAAACATGATCTCGCCATACATTTCCTTCTAAAAAATTAGCGTATAAAATTGCTTATATCTTGGCAAATAAAACTCTTTTCGGCGAAAATTTTTTTAAGGATACAGAGTTTTACTCGCTCTTTCACATGGATTACTTGAATTTTGTTTATGACTAATTTTACGGAAAATTTATTTTTCCATGACGTACGTGCAAACGAAGAATGTGTTTCTCGATCGTGCCTTGAGCTTCAGTTGCCCCTGCATTGCTTTTCTCGAGGTGCAGCACGCAACCTATACATTTATGCAGAAAATTTGTAGACTGTAACGCAAATATAAATTCTTTTTCAGAG